TTGAAATTTCGCTTTGTTTGCAAACATTGGTCTGTTTATTTTGGTTTCCAATGTTTATTTACATTTTTTTGATTGTTTATTTTGTTTTCCAATGTTTATTTACATTTTTTTGATGTAAACACTGTTTTGAAAAATTTTCGAAAATTTGCAATCGAAATTTCGAAAACTTTGAAATTTCGCTTCGTTTGCAAACATTGATCTGTTTATTGTATTTAGGTTTCCAATGATGGCAAAATTTGCAAGTGGTATTTGCATTAATGAAGGAATGTAACGATTTAAAACACCGATCGATGAAAATTGGGATAATATTTTCGATTTTTTATTTTTTCTGATTATTTAAAATATTATTTAAATTTATTAGAAATGGAAGATTATTTATATTTATTATAACTAGAAGTTTATTAGTCATTAATATAAATAATCAGTTATATAATTTAAATAAATAAATATAAATTTTAAGTTAATTTTTTATCCCAATTTTCATCAATCGTTGTTTGAAATCGTTATATTGATGTTCAATTCAATAAATAATTCTCGAAGCAGATGTGGCAATACTGTTCATATTTTTAAATTTTAATTTTCATCAATAGTAGCGCTGCAGTGCAAAACATGCTTAAATCGGTACGACAGGATGTGACACGAAAGGGGTCCTGTAACCCCGGAATTTTGGCCGAAAAAATATATTGTATGCTAGTACTATTCATTTACCTCGACTGTGTCACTGGCACACCTATACCAAGTAAAATGATATGCATATGATATATATATAATCATATATGATCATATACCTCGTCTGTGGTCAGGTCTATCCTAGTTAGTCAATCATTGCATTAAAATTGAGACGAGAATAAAGTATGTGCTGCCATCTAGTAATACTGACTTGAACGAACATGACATTGCTTTAACATATCTATAAATGAGAGTATCTGTTTAAATAAGGAGGACGATAACGCTATGCGACGTTTTTTTTATCTCTTTTTTTTTTACATATTTCTTTATCTATAAATCGGGCAAATTTTCAATTATAAAAGAAAATTAATCAAGAGGATTAATTCATGAACTTTCACAATTCCGTCTTTAAAATTAAACTCTCAATTTTCTTTTTATATCTTATATGATCTATATGCATGCATAAAGATTTACAAATTCTGTTTTATAGATTAAGAAACTTATTGGAGTAATATTTAATTTCTCGTAAACTTACATTAGAAACTTGGATCAAAATTGACCGTAGTTGGAAGTATTAGCATTAAATCATATATGCAAAGAATGTATATTTATCGCGTGAAATTTATTATATTTTACAATTTCAACGTTGGGTCATTCGATCTGTTGGACAGAATTTATAACTTTTCATTTAATTTATTATTTTCGTAGATTCAGTCGAATTTATAAATTATTAGCAATTAATTATTTTTATGGATTAAATGAAATGTGCGAAAGAAACTCAGAGTCTAATTTGTAAAATGAAGTTATAAAAGCAATCTTCATTCCCGTTAATGATATATATACAGATAAAAAGTTATTTAGCGTAAAACTCTGTAAATTGATTTTACGATTATTATAACATATCCTGATCGATGCTATTATTTATACTATTTTCACGGAACAATTTAATTTCAATCTGAAACATGAAATCGCTGTTGCTTTTAGATAAAAACGGTAATTGATGAAAAGATCTTCATCGTCTGTGATTGTACTTAATGTTAAATTTTCTTTTATTTGTATGTATTATTCTTGTCATTTACAGTATTCTTCACGATTTATTATACAATTAATAAAAGTGTTCGTTTTATATAATAAAAAATTGTATTTAAAAATTTCCCTCATAAAATAACATTAATTCAATCTCTTCAAAATCGAATCGTCAGTGTTCGTATCCCACCATATAATACTTAGTCCTCGCAATCATCGTTTCGGATGTAAACCTCGCTCTGTTCAAATCTTGGGTCTCATTTACATAACTGAAATATAGCAGAGTCCACGTGTATTCAATTGTTTTCAAGTATATTTCTTGCCTTTCTCCTATAAACTGTATTATACAAAGGATTATAATTGTTTAACGAATTGATATAAATATAAATATATTTTTATGTAAATACAAAAACAATTAAAGAAACACTCCATCGTCAAGATCGTAAAATTAATGTTTTCATCTTTCGTGATTTTCTTTTATAGTAAAATATCAATGCGTATTCTAAGCAATCGATACTCACATCATCCGAATAAAATCCGATTGTTTATCTATTATTATTTCAATGTTAGTCAAACGGTCGAATTACTACGATCCGAATGTAAATTGCATTCTCTTTCGAAAGATATTATATCCTGATGTGATTCCAATAATTCATTTCAGTTCACAGGTCCGCGTTTCTCATCTCATTTCATCAGTTTGGAAAGCTAAAATAATAACAATACAGGTACTTATTCAGGTAGCAGATGTTTTATTTTATTTCATATTTGTACTGATGCAATGTTATTCGGATAGCGTGAGTATCTAAGTACGAATACCCGTATCGTCCCGCGAGATTCGGGACCTGCTTACACTATTACGAAGCACGCGTAAAGAGTTACACAATATAACCATGTGAAAAATATTTTTCTTTTCAGCTCTCTGTTTACTGCAAGAAAAGAATTATGACAACAGAATGTTAATCAACCGAACTTTCTTGCCAACGAGAGACATTCCCTCCGAGTGAGTAAATTATCATTATACATTCGGTATGCAATATAGTAACTTTCGTGATGCAGTGTGTTTCGTCGCAGGTTTTGTTTGCACGTCTTCGCATTGTCAGACGTTTCGAACCGATTTCTAACTTCGAAAACAATCGCGAGCGGCAAATTGAACATTCCGTTGAACGCGGAATCGGATCGTGTGATGAATATCGTTCTGAAATCGTTACTTACGTTATTTGTCGATCGAGTGGAAACACTCGAATACATTTTCACCATAGCGCGGCGACGAATGAGCGGATATTCGAAAGAAGGAAGCCACGAATGTCAACGACTAAGAAACTGTACGTTCTCTAATTGCCTACGAGTAACTCTAACACACATACAAGATCTTCTTTTTATTCACTTACGCTATCGTTTTGCCAGCAGCGTTCGCTAAAATGTACGCGTTCGAGAGATTCGTGTTGAACCATATTACGATTGAGATAATTTCGTTCCGATTATGTCTCGGCTCGTTTGCTTCGTCGTCGTCTTTTCTTTGTTTTCTTGTCTCTCTCGATCGTAAAACGATCTTAGGTACACGTACAATTGAAATAACACGGTCGGTGTCTGCCCATTCGGAAACTAGGATCGTTCGTAATTTTCCACATTTCGCATTTTCATGTTTTTCAGTAAAACTGAACGGTCCCGAGGCAATTTAACAATCAGTTTTATTAATTGCAGAAGTCCGCACGTACACGCACGTTGCAAAAGTACATAGTATTGCACGCATTCATCGCGTCGACAGTTACTGTTTCTTCGATTCGAGTTTCTCTTTCTTCTGTCATGCTCCAGATTACTTTCGTGGAAATATTCATATCGCATAATTCCCTTTATAACTGATGCACATTGCTTGATTCATCGTTACGTATAATAATTGTGCCGCTCTCGCAACAGATATATTCAGTGATAACAAACAATAAGACATCGCGTACAGTAATTATTCATTAATACGTACGCACGTGAGACTTAAATGATTAATAAAACTTACAATTAAACGTCGTTCAAGCTCTTCAATTTTGCTAAAAAAAAA